GCCACCTCTCCTTGCCACTGGTCTCCAGGCTGCTCTGGAGGTCTCTGCTTCCAGTTCTCCTCCACAACCTCCTCCTGTGGAGTCTCCCGTGATCTCAGGTACCCCTCCTTCTGACCCTTGTCTAATGTATTCTCTTCTTCTTGCTTCTTTCTTCTAATTTCTCCTAGAATCCGTCTTTTTTGCAGAGACACTCTGTCTGGTGGTGTTTCTCGTCCGCCATCTTGATCCTCCCTCTCACCAAAAAGATAAAATTAGGAAAATGGCAGAGTAGGGGTGCCCTCCTGGCTCTCTGCTCCCAGAACAAATAGTGAAGAAAGGCGATAGCCACAGCTCCAGCGATCTGCACTTCCACGAGACCACTTTGCAAGCCTGCAGATACCCAACAGGACACGGAGGGATAAGACCATTTACAGCCTAAAGCAAAGGTGAACGATCATTCTTCCGCAAAACTCGGGATTCGGAGGCACACATCAGGGAGGGAGCGAGGGCGCGGCTTAAGCCGCTGCCGGCGGGCCAGTGGCCGCCAGCCTAACTGGGCGCTGAGAAACACCCCTTCCTACACGAGCTCCACTCCCACGTAGGCTGGGAGGTGCCTGAAAGTTGGTGAGAAGTGTTTAGCGCGGGATTAAGCTGTGTGGAGAGGAGACTAGAACAGGGAAGGCGCTGAGTTCGCCAGAGCACACAGCGGCCGCAGTTAACGGTGGGGGAGGGTCCACGTGCAGCAACTGCTCTCCACGCAGCAGGAACCAGAGCCCGCTTGGGCATCTCCCTGCAAAACACTCCCAGGTCGAGGGTAAGGGAGTTACACAGCAGGAGGCTTTGACTTTGGATTTGGAGGAGGTTTGGGATAGGCACTGAGAGATCAGAGTGCGCAAAAAAGTTAGACTCCTTGATCCATTTAGGACCCCCCCTCCCTCTGCCCGCTCCGGCACTCGCTCCGCCCTGCATTCCGGTGCTGACTCGGCATTCCAGCGCTGACTTGGCTCGGGGTTTGGAGAAAGAGCACAGAGAAGCGGCTGGTAAGCGCCGCCGCTTCGCCCCACCAATTTCATATTGGACTGTCACTTGCTGCACAAGCGGCACTGACTCTGTCAGAAAGTGGACCCTGCCTGGAGCGGAGCGAAGCTACAGGGGAGATTGCCTTGGCGATTTAAGGCAGAGAAAGGGTGCCTTCCACACTCTCCTGCGACCTGGAGCCCCGCCCTGGGCTCCAAAGTCTCTGTCTCAGCCTTGGGGGCGGAGCTTGAGATAGAAACTGTTCTCATTCCTGCGCTTTACCTCACCTGTGCAATTAAAGAGACAGAAGACAGGATTCCTGGGTTTGGCTAGGGCTGCGGCCTGGCCGCTTCAGGCCAATCTCTATCTGCACAGGTTTTCTGCGCCTCAGTGTCCAGGCCCTGGAGTTTGCCGTGGGCAGAGCGGAGCTTGCAGGAAGCCAGCCTTTGGTGAATACAAAACAAAGAGGCGTTACAACCCACACACCCTGGTGACTTGGAGCTGGGCCTTCGCGTTCCAAAGTCTCTAGCCCGCCTTGGGGGTGGAGCTGAGAGAGAAACTGCTCCAGTTCCTGCCATCTATTCAACCCTGTGTATTAAAGGAGACCAGCAGGAAGGTAGGGTATTAGCGTGTTTCCCTCCTACATCTCGGACTGCTGCCTCCCAGCGGGTTGAGAAGCGGCCTGCAGACACCACCCCAGGCGAAGGCTGCTGACAGAGACAACCCACCTACTGGTGCTCAGAAACAAAACAAGACGTGTGAATACCCAAACCGAAAAACGCTAAAGGAAGAAACCAACACCGAGCAAATGGGAAGAAATCAGCGAAGGAACTCTGGAAAAATAGGCAGAACAAACAGAAACACACCGCCAGAAAAGGAGCATTCCGCGGCCCTTAGAACAGACACAACCCAAAACCTGGGCCAACTAAAATGAAGAAGAGGAATTTCAAGATGTGGATGCATAAAAACACTCACACGTGCCCTGCAACAACAACTCACATTTAACGCAACATAAAGAACCAAAAAGCCTCCAGGAAATGGAAAAAGTTCAACAAAGAGATTGACCAGTTGAAGAAAACCTTTACACCAAGTCTGGAAGATGAAGATCAACTCAGGGAACTACAAAATACTGTGGAGAAGTCTCAGAACAGGTAGATCACAGAGAAGAAATCTCAGAGATTGAAGATTAAAACATTCCAAATTAAATAATCAAGTCACCAGAATACAGGCAGAGAACACAGAGAATGACCAAAAGCGCTACAAAGCTGTGGATTATGTGAAACAAACCTAAACCATGAGGTCCATAGGGTTAGGCAGAAAGCGGGAACGGAGAACAACCACTGCAACGGCTGGACCAAGCTTTTGAAAAGACATAATAGAGGAAAATTTCCCAGGCCTTGCTCAAATTCGATATACAAGTTCAAAGAAGCCCAGAGGACGCTGGGAGATTCAATGCCAAACCAGGAAAGAGTCACGTCATGCAGTCATGCAGACTGACCAAAGTATGCAACTAAAGGGCCCTTCTATAGAGCTGTAAGACAAAAAGAAAGCAAGTTAACATACAAGGGAAAGCCATTCGGAATAACCATCAGACCTTTTCTAATGAGACTTTACAAGCAAGGAGAAGACTGGAGCCCCATTCTCACCTATTCTGTAAAACAAAACAATGCCAGGCCTAGAATCCTAGTTCCCTGCAAACTAAGCTTCATATATGAAGGACAAATAAAGCGATTTCCAGACAAGCAAAGGCCTGCAGAGAATGTCACGCAAAGACAAGACGGCCTACAAGAAGTTCTCAAACAGTGTTACACACGGACACGCATAATAGAAACTCACAATATAAAAAAAAAAAAAAAACCAACGGCACCAAAGTCTTAAAGGCCGATATCTTTATGGATCAAGAGAGAATGCAAAGCAACATACATCCAACCCAACAGAATGAACAGTAAATTTATTGAAACCTTAAAATCTGTACCCCCATAATATGCTGAAATAAAAAAAAAAGATAAAATTACAGTTATTTTTAATGGTTGTGTAATACTCTATGGCACAGATATTTTAAAATTGCTTCAAATATTTTCCTAATGCTATATACTTACTTTTTCCAGGATATTATACCATGAGCAACATTGCAATAAATATCTCTGTCTGTATAATCTTCTATACTGCTAATTCCCAAAAGTCAAAAGTCATAAATTTTTATAATTCTAATAGGTGCAGGCAGGTTTTTTTCCCAAAATGACTAAGCAGTTGCATTTTGTTTCTACCCAACCTCACAGGTACATGTGGGCTACTCAGTAGTAAGTGCTATGCCCTATTCGCAAACTATACCCTACAAAAGTCATAATCCGACTTTCACCACCGTATTGACCCTTGCCTTGAATGCCATCTGATCATTTAACAAATATTTATTGATCCCCTATTCTGTGTCAGTTACTTTGCCACACACTTTGGAACACAGAGGTAAACAAGATGGATGAAAGCAAATATGGTGAAGGTTACAAAAGGTAAAGTTTGAGGTGCTGGAAAGTATATGCTAGGGAAAGGTCACTTCATCTAGGAAGAGAGAATTACCTGAGTGAAAAAATATTCAACTTTGTTATTTTCCAAACTCATGTATTAGTTTCCTGTTGTTTTTGTGACAAATTGCCAAAAACTTGGTAGTTTAAAACAAGAGAAATCAATCTCTCACAATTCTGCAGGCCAGAAGTCCAAAGTCAGTTTCACAGGGACAGAATGCAGGTGTTGGCAGTGCTGCACTCCTTCCTGAGGCTCTCGGGGAGAATCGTTCCTTGCTTCTGCTAGATGTTGATGGCTGCTGGCATTCCTTGGCTTATGGTTACATCACTGCAATCTCTGCATCTGGAGAGACATTGCCTTCTCCTCTTGTGTCTGTGTCAAATCTTCCCAGGCCTCCCTGTCATAAAGATACATGTGACTGCATTTAGGGTCCATGTAGGATAATCCAGAAAAAGCACCTCAACTCAAAAGTCTTCATTTAATCATATTTATAAAGCCATTATTTGCATATAAAGTGACACTCACAGGCTCAGGGATTAGGAAATATACCTTATTTATGATTTTGGAAAAGTAATATAGTCAGTGATTAAGAAAGTGTGAGATCTTGAGCTAGATTTGTTGGTTGGGATGGGAGTCTGAAACATTCACTTGGTCATTCTAAGCTCTGCTTTTATTACATTGAAGCAATAACTACCTCCCAGGGACTATGCTGCTATTACATTTAAGATAAAAGAGATATCTTGTAAAGCATTTGGCATATGGATATGTAATAAATATTAGGTGTGTTAATTTAACTTTTCCCACAAAACATCACAGATTAAGAAGCAGTTCTATATTTCTGGCCCATTCTGAGCACTATGTGATTGGTTGTTTTGAGTTAAGTCCATGTTTTTTACAATAGTTGAGCTCCAAGTATTAGCATGCACTACTTTTCTCCTTGCAGTTTAGAAAATCATCTTCCATTGTCAATTTCTCTTTTTGGTTCCATACTTTTCAGTCCTTTATTGTCTCCAGATGATTCATTATGTTTCCAGCTTTGTCCCAACTGCATAATCAAGTTTCCAATTTGCTTTGCCCACACACTGTGTTGAATGAGGACACTGCCTACTGATCCATTTGTGAATGTTAGATATTTATTAGATATTTGTTAGATATTTACTTATTTATCAAATATAACATTTTAATAAACTATATCAATTATTTAGAGTCCTCACATGAACAGAATTTATTTTTCTATCTTTTATAGTAAAGAGAAAGATAAATCCTCCCTAAACTTATTCTTATCAGGGACTTGACCAAATAAAAAGGTAAAAATAATTTATTTAACATTACATATGTTTAACATTTATGTGTGTGTGTAAATGTGTGTGTGTATGCCTCTAAGTTGGCACAGATCTATCCAATCTCTTACAATACCCAGTTTCTAGTTGACATTTATATTTGACAAGAAACAATCCTTCATTTGGCCATGGTAGACCTTGCTAGTTGGTCACTGATGCATTATATATTGTGGAGATTTGGCATGAGAGTCTTTTTGAATGGAACACTCCACAATCACCAGTTTGTCAAAGCTGGGACCTGCGAGAAAACCTCTTTACCATCCTTGGATAGACTTACCCTTCTTGGTTTTCCTCTGTGTCTTTGTCCATTTTCTGTTGCTATAATAGAATACCACACACACGGTAATTTATAAAGAAAAGAAGTATGTGGCTCATGATTCTGGAAATTCTGGGAAGTCCAAGAGCATGGTGTTGGTGTCTGGCAAGGACCTTCATACTGCCTCATAACATGGCAAAGAGCATCACATGACAAAAAGGCAAGACTGTGCCAGCTCAGATTCCTGTTCCTATAAAGCCACCAATCCTATCATGGAGGTCCCATCCTGATAACTCTATGTATTTTTTTAAGAGATAGGATCTTGCTACATTGCCCAGGCTAGTCTCACACTCCTGGGCTCAAGTGATCCTCCTGCCTCAGCCTCCCAAGTAGCTGGGACTACAGGCACACACCAACATGCCATGATTTATATAATCTTAATTACGTCCCAAAGGCCTCATCTCCAAATACTATCAATGTATGAATTTGGAAATTGTTTCCAACACATGAAATTTGGGGAATGCATTCAAATCATAGCACTCTGCATGAAATATGATAACACATTTTCTCAGCTAAATGTTGTTGGCAGTGTATTCTTGTCTCATGGAAAATACACAGGGAACTCACGTTTTTAATTATGCTTTTATTGGAAACATAATCCTATGTGCTACTATATTCAATGAGTTCCTTTCTTGATTATTAACTTTTGCAGATTATAATAGCCATAAATCAGAAGGAAGAAGCAGCTATGCTCTAGTTTCCCTTCAATATACATAGTTTTTTCTCTTTTATTCTCTGGCACTTTTTCTTTTTCTTCCTAAACAAAATAATAATGATAATAATAAATACTTATTGTTTAAAAACAATGTGTAGCATTTAAAATTCTATGCACAACACTTTGAGATGTTCTAAATCTAACCAAAAGTAAAAATGTGTTTTTAAGTGTTTTATAGTCATCCATTAATAATATTGTTTATATCATCAACACAGGCAATCCAATAGATCCTGAGGTGAAAGACAAAGCTCTCCTGTGGGAAGGCAGATGACTGACACCCCAGAGGAGTACAGGAAATTAAAAACTTCACAGATGAAATTGACAACCTGTCTTAAAACCTAAATGTTGATTCTCCTGCAAGTGAGTCACAAGACAGTTGTAAGACTAAAATGCTATATACAAAACAAAAACCAAAATCACTTTTAGAGACCCTCCTGCTGAAACAGCAGCTATATACCTCAGATCAGTCCTCCTTCAGACTGTGACACGTAAGCTTTATACTCAAACAGGTCTGGACTCAAATTCTCTTCCTGTGCCTAATGAGTTGGTAACCTTAAACAAATCCCTTTGACTTTCTGAGCTTACTTTCTTCCTCATTTGTAAAAGGGAAAATGGGATATTGTTTGTGTAAAGCACTCAGCACAGGGTCTGGTGACATAGTACAAGGTCATTAAACGTTAGTACTTGCTCCATGGAGATGACCTGCCTTGAGCTGGGAAAGGTTAAGTAGACTCTCCTTAGAATTAAAATACTAGAATTATTTTAGTGACCCACAATTTCCCAACAGAGATGACTGGGAGGTGCTGATTTTAAAACACTAAACTGATTTCTAGGCACTCTGATCAGTTTAATCTCCAAAAGGAAAATGCTGAGTTGATTTTCAGTAGTTCAAGTTATCTTTATTATAAAGATGAATTTAGAAGCTGCCCATTTCTAGCTACTGGATTTGGGGTGGGGACTGATGCTTGTAAACTGAACACTAAATGTTGGATAAGTTCCTTCCCCTCTCTGGGTATCAATTGTGGGGGACACCATGGTCTGATATTGCACATAATTTAGTACCAGAAGGTATGTTACCACAGAGTGTAAAAACTATCAAACACATAGAGGGGCCTAGACCCTCAAAATGCACTTTAAGCTCACTCTTTAAGCTGAGCAGCTTCAATTTTATATGTCATATGCTATGAGCTTCTATCCAAGATGGTTTGAAAAGGAATTTATGACTTAAAAAAATAATACACCACTGCTATAAAAGAGCATACTCCCTGCTTGGTCTGACCCTGCCTACCTTTCTGGTCCCATTCCAGGTCATTCTCTTCCTTGCTCACTTTCCTCTAGCCCTTCTGATGCTCTTTCCATGTCTTAAATGCCAAGGTCTCTCCTACCTTAGGAACTTTGTACATGCCATTTCTTCTGCTTGCAAATATCTTTCCACCACTTTTCAGCTAGCCAATAAATACTGATGCTTTATCCTTTGGTTCTCTGCTTATTTATCCTTTCAGAGAAGTCTTCCTTGTATCACCACCCCCATCTAAGTCTTCCTCCTAGAATGGCCAGATAAGAGACAGGGAACATAATTAAATGTGAATTTTAGGATAACAACACATAATTTTTAGAAATTTATTGTTAATTTTTATGGATACTTCATAGTTGTACATATTTGTGGGGTACAAGTGATATTTTGATATAAGTATATAATGTATAATGATCAAATCTGGGTAATTGGGATATCCATCATCTCAAACATTTATCATTTCTTTGTGTTGGGAACATTCCAAATATTTTCTTCTAGCTATTTTGAGATCTGGAATAAATTATTGTTAACTGTATAACTATAGTGCCCTGCTGTGCTACTGAATACTGGATCTTACCTGATACAACAAGAAATCAGCAGACCTCAAATTCAATTCCAAGTCTATTTAGCTTCAAAGTCTTGCTTTTTCAACCATATCATGCTATATATAATTTTTATTTTAATTTTATTTTTAAAATAAAAATGCTTTTTATTTTTATAATAACAGATAGATAAATCCATTGTAAAAATACATTCTAATATGGATGAAGGTAATAGAGTCCAACTCCATTTTTTTCCCTAATGTTTAACAGCTGATAGTTTCTAACCCCCCCCTTCTCCCTTCCTCTTCTGCTCCATATCTGGTCAAGCTGATAACAGCACCCTAGGTGCTCCTTCCTTTGAGTCAGGTAGGAAGTTAAAACCACTCTCCAGAGCCCTCACCCCAGTCCTACCCTGTCTAATCACAAATAAAAACCCTAAACCAGTGCCTCCTTTTCTTGCTCTTGTAAGCCATTTTGGACACCTTGGGAGCCTGCCTTGCTCTCCACAGAAAACCTCACTATGTGAGTAACAAAACTTTTCATATTCTCTTAGCATGCCTGTGGCATCATCAGTCTTGACATCCAGACCAAAGTTTGAATGAGGCCCGATCCTTCTTTTTCTGAGTGACCACAATAAGGACTGTAGTTGTTATAACAGTGCTACAAACAATTTAAGTAGCAAATGAAAAAACAAAAATGAAAAGCAAGAATATCTGATCTAACTGGAGGTAAATCTGATTCATAGGACAAAACAGCTTTATTTGAAGAACCCTTGCCTAGGACCATATGTGAAATATCTGTGCATTAAAATCTTTTATGTGAAATCCAATTGTGATTCATTCTAATAGCTTTGATAGAAATTCAATTATTTTCCACATTCAAACATTTTCAGAAATGGCCATTGTGGTAAAGTGCAGCGTTAACGTACAACTAATTTGAGGTTGTTAAATATTTTAACTACTAAGTGACTAAGAATTAATATTTCAGGATTAAAGTTCATTGATTATTAAATTTCTGCTATCTAGTCATTATAAATCATGATTAATGTTATTTTCATGGAATATCCTTTAGTTAAGAAGTTGATAAATTTAACAGCCTAAGCAAGGGCATAAATACCACTATAGATACCAGAGCATTTCAAAGAAGCTTTGCAAGAAGACAGCATCTCTCCATTGGAAGGCTTATTTATGTTTCTACAAAATGAAACAAAAATCTTAAAATTTTAGACCTGTAAAGACCATTTGAAATTTAATCTTTAAGCCCTAATTCCAAAAGAAAAAGTAATTCACAGGAGTCCAACAGCCTAAGAGTGAAAGTGCTGGTGCTGTATGGGCACCGAATCTTGCAGGGATCAACTCAGGGTTCTTACCCCCTAAATACTCCCCTAGGAATTCTGATGAGAGGTCACCATCCTGATTCCAGGAAACGTATTTGTGGAATCTTGTAATATAATGTCTGTTTGATAAATTTCTTTCTCTAGTCAAAAAAATTGCCCTTACACACTCATCAGCTTGTAAAACGAGTTACTGCTAGCCTAGATAGTACCTATGTGCAAGGAAAAAAGACAACCTCTCTTAGATCTTTGCAATCTGTCAGTCTAAAATTATTCTATAACCATTCTTTTAAAATGTGCATTGAATTTAATCATCTGAATCTTAATAATGTCTTCTGACTTTAAGAAAATTCATCAGTTTGTTTATCTGCAAAGTAGATGAAGTAAGAACACTGACCTCGTTGGACCATTGTAAGGATTCAATTAAATAATAAATACATGCAAAGCATTTACCATAGATCCTGACACTTCATAATAGCTAAATAAATATTTGCCATTATTATTAGCAGAATCTCAAAAGAAGAGATTCCCCTTCCCTTCCAATTCTCTTCCTTCTTTCCTTGTTGTTTTAATGTGCAGAAGCATTAGCCATATTGTCAAATTATTCAGACTTTTTCATCCATAAGGAGAATGATTAAAAAAACAACCAATGTATATCATATTGATTATCAATCTTGGCACATGTTTGGTTGCCAACCTAAATTTGTCACCGCATAATATAAATTGCAGATAAGGAGGGCCATTAAAGGAAAACTTCATGGAAAAGCAAATGTTAAAATATTTTTTTAAATATTGAAATGGTTTTATTTAAGTAATAGTTTTATTCACTATACAGTTGAATCCTAATACTTTTGATGCAATTTAAGAAGCATATGTTATAAATTACTATGCTTAAAGGGAAATAGAAAATGAGAGGAAGTTCAAGGCCAGTATTTATCCCTGAGGGTGTTAAACCATTCCGTAAATAACATCAATGTAGAAACATTTCAATATATACACATATTAGTGAGAAATAGATGGAGATTTTTTATCACAGTTATGAATTTTTTAAATCTTTCAGTTTTAAAAATTAAAGTTATTTTAATAGGGAGATAAAATCAGAGAACTTAAAAAACTTTTTGTTATTGACCTATAGCATGAAGATTTTGAAGTGAGATTTTCAAAAACTGTTATGTATCAAGAAACAAATCAAATCTTTTTTATCCTACTGCCTTTTGACTAGAGTAAGGCCCAAGCCTTACCTTTTATTGGCTCATGGTATATATTTTAATTATTCATTCATTACCTTTATAAGAGAGAAGTTGGGCTACTTAGGACTTGTTCTACATCATGAAGTTCTTAGGGAGAAATGACTGTGAGCGAAATACTGAAGTATGTCCTTTCCAGGGTGAACAGAGGCACAGGAGGTGCCAGTCAGTGAGGCAGGGAGGTCTTTACATGGAAAGCTTATAGGAGCAAGTCTCATTGTTCCACTTGGAAATTAGTTGGGGTCTAACAGTCAGAGATGGCCAGACAGACAGATGAGTCTGTCTTCCATCCTGGTAAGGTCCTAGACACTGGAAGTGTAAGTAATGAATTCCCCAGTCTCTCTCTGTCTGTCTCTCTCTCGCCCATCTCTCTCTTGTTTTTCCTCTGTTTCTGTCTCTGCCTCTCTCTCTCTCTCTCCCATTTCTCTCTCTCTTTCTCTGCCTTCTCTCTCTGCCTCTTTCTCTCTCTCTGTCTCCCCCACCCCTCTCCTGTCTGTGTGTGTGCACACATGCTCACTCTTTATTGAAACCTCCTCCTAATCCCCCCTCTCACTTTCCAACTCTCTAGCATTATTTTTAGTTTAGTAAGCATTGTTCATATTTTAAATTAAGTTTGTGTTCTGTGTCATGAGAGGCAACATGCAGTGTCATGATTTAAAGAATTGACTGCAGAGCCAGGCAGCTTAGGTTCGAACACCAGCTCTGCCATCTACCAGATATGGACCCTGGTAATTTACTTAAGTTCTCTGGGCCTCAGTTTCCTCATCTGCAAAATGGCAATAATAATAGCATTTTTCTCTTAGGACTGTTGTAGAGATTAAATGAGTTAGTATGTTTAAAACATTTTAATCAGTTCCTAGTACATAGTAATCTCTATAGAGATATTTTCTCTTGGTATTATGCTCATGCTACCAAAGCCTAAATTGCTCATGAGAGTCACCATAAGAATCAGGATGACTGATTTATGGAATGTGAACTTGGCAAAGACCGTGGCTCCCAGGAATCAATGAGCAAGTCTATTCCTGCATTGGACAGAATGAAGGAAAATGATTCCCATTAGTACATGAACCCTATGTGAAAGGGGCTGTAAGATGGCTAGGAAGCAAGAGCCTGCTCCAAACAGGAGAGCCTGTTCCAAAGAGGAGAGAGTGTTCCACCACAGGTTTTAAAATTATGGAACCTCCTTAGGGAGTTCAGTATTCATGAGCCAAATGGACTATCAGTTGTATGGTCAGCAGAATAGTGCCCCCTGCCCTTTGTCCATATTCTAATCCTCAGACTTGTAAATGTGTTACCTTAAATGGCAAAAAGGTCTTTGCAGATCTTAAAATGGGAAGATTATCCTGGATTATCTGGATGGTCTACATGTAATCACAAGGGTCCTTATAAGTGAAAGAGAGTGGTGGAGACCTTTTGCTGCTGGCTTTGAGGATGGAAGAAGGGGACCACAAGCCAGGAATGTGGACAGCCTCTAGAAACTGGAAATGGTAAGGAAACAGATTCATCCCTGGAGACTGCAGGAAAAGAAGGCAGCCATGCCAATACCTTGTTGTGCTTTGTTGCTGTTGTTGTTGTTGCTATTGTTGCTTGCCTCATAAAGCACATGTTGGACTTCTAACCTACTGAACTGTAAGATAATAAATTTGTATTGTTTTAAGTGAGTAATGTGTTACAGCAGCAATAAGAAACTAATACAGTCACCTAGTGTTTCTATGTCTTGTGATATTTTTTTTGTTCCACCAAAAAACACAGTCAAGTACTATCACTATGTATGGCTACTCTGAAGAGGCTAAGGAACCAAGAATCCAGGCCATGTGGGGTAGAGAGAGCCTGCTTTTCTGCCAACTTTATACATTTACTTTTAGTCCACTCTCCTGAACAATCCAAGAAAAGATTTGATCTTGTTTTCAAGAGTTGGTTGAAACTTACTTATACCAATGTTTGCTGTAGGTATTTGAATTTTTATTTTTCTTAAGTAGTAGAAAGAAAGCTCTGCCTCCTGTTGGTGGAAGAAGAGGAAGTATTTTGTAAGCAAGGGCATTTTCTTGCTGCACAGCTATTTAAGATTAAGGTTACCCCAGCAGATAAACTGTCCTTACCCTGTATTAGTAGGGTGATCCAGATGATGTTACATTTATATTGTCAACTTTCTTCTCGTGTCTCTGTTAAACTTGAGCCAACACTCTGGTGAACTAAATTAATCCCTTAGCTTATTTTTCAGTTCAATATAGCAAGATGCTTAGTACCAAGATGCATTTTCATGGTTCCCCTTCACTTTGATTCAGTTCCTGGATCTGCGAGCTACACAGACAGGCAGTGAGCAATGGCCACACTTTCTACTCCAGCCAAGCATTTCCTGACCCATACTTCATCAAGACCTGAAACTCATGGTTCTGTCAAGAAATAATTAAGGAGATTAAAGGTATACAGAATGGCAAAGACAGCATTAACTCTGGGAAATGCACATAGAAACCCCCAGTTCTGAAGAGCAAATCCAACTTGTCTACCTTATAACATAGTAAATGTTAGCTGCTGTGTGATGATTTTATTCAATTCAATCTAACAAACATTGATTGAGACCTTACTCTGGGCAAAGAATAATGATAATTAAGTCACACATGGCATTAGGGAAACTGCTGACATTTGTGTTAATGATTGATACTAAAGAATTAACAAAATTAGAAGGGAAAACCTGAAAAAAAATTGCTGTGGTGGTATAAGAATAATACTAATTACAGTAATTTATGGGAACTGCTTATCACTAATGCCTAATTATTATGCAGCACAATCATGATTATGCATGCCATTAAATGTGTGTATGAGGGACTTTAGTGTGTGTTTTATTAGATTAGATTAAAACAATGAAATATAAACATGCATGCTCAGTCCTCATAAAGTGTTACTCATGCAGTAATTTGTCATCTGCTCACAATTTTTAAAAATTAGAGAAAAATGCTTAGACCATGAATAAGATAGCTTGGTTCTTTTCTACAAGGGAAACTATAAATTGATTAGTGCACTTGATTTTGTAAATGAGTCCCCTATCATTGCTGTCAAGAATTGTAGTGTGTTTTTCTCTCCCAGGCTTTCTTATAAATAATTTTAATTTCCCTTTTCCAGCAATCTATTTCAGAATAAATGTAACTCTAGGAGTCTCATTATCTTCATAATCTGCGGAAGGGATGAGGTAGAATGAATGAGATCAGCTCCATGTGGTCAAACCAATTCAGCCAGCCGTTTGCAGATTATTTGTCAATCGGTTAATCAGAGACCATGTCCAATCATCTCAGAGTTCAGTTAAAACAACAGAGGAATATAGTACTAGTGTTTATGTGGATTAACAATGTACAAGGTGACATTTATATCCTACCCTCAAAATTCAATAGGAACATCTGCTATGAAAAGACTTGGAAGTAAAGAACAGCCCCAATTCTACATGACTGAATTCTGACTCTATTTATTCATTCTGTCAAGCAAAAGGTATTAAAAATCTGTTATATGTCAGGCACTATACTATATACTGGGAATCTAGAGATTCATAAGACAGCTCCCCCAGGAAACTCAGGGTATAGTAGTGAACATTTGTCTGGGGTCTACAGAAATGTAATAACAAAATATTTCTTTCATGGACGTGATTCTAGTTGTAGAAATGAGAAAATAAACATGTATCATTAACTTCTGGAAGATGTAAAATAAACTTAGGCTGGATACTTTAAAAAACAGGCATATATATACCTGTCCCATCTTCCCACACCACTTTCATTATATTAATTATCCTAGGGCCATGACCAATTTTGGGGACCAAAGGTGCACAGCCTCTGCCACCACTAGCTCTCTTTTCTGTTCCATGAATCCAATTGCATCAACAACAGTACATGAAGTCCCTGGGAAATAAATAAGATACATATATATCCATGTGCTTTTCTTTCTCCCAATGTTTAAAGAGAGACAAATAGCACATTTTTCTTCAAGTCTAAAACACTGACTTCTCTTTTATTCCTTCTCTTTCTCTCCTAGAACCCTATTGCCTCACATCTTTCTTCTTTTCTTCTCTGTTAGATCCTTTCCATAAGTCCATAGGTTTTTCACCACCATTTGATGTTTTATACTTTCTATGACTCATGCAACCCCCAATTGATGATTTCCAGCCTACAAACAAGGGCCACCTTCTCTGTGAAGACATTTTTTATTCCCAAGTTGCCAGTAATCACTCTATCTCCTAAAATAGTATCTCCTTAAATAGTATTTCTTTAAAATAGTGTATCAACCACTCTAAAAATATTGTATGACTCTTAGGTCACAAAACAATACATAACCTGAAAACTCCACAGTAGACTAGGTTCCTTTAAAAGGGATCTATAGTTATTAATCTTGATAATTGCAAATATTGGCATTCAATGAAATTGTATGAATCACATTTCAATTATACCTCATTTGCTACAAAATACAAAGAGCAGGGTGTTTGGGTTAGATGATGATAGCTGCTCCGAAGGTTTTCCATTTGTCCCTACTGAATTGATTCACTGTTTTGGGTTCAAAGACAAACCGTAACATTCATTTCTATTCTCTTAATTTTAAATATAAACAGTTTAAGAGGTGAAGTGTCAAAGATGAAGAAAGAATGGGGAAGCTTTCAAAAATACTTAAGTTAGTGCCAAATTAGTGAGTAGAATAGAATTTGGGTGGGAAGGATATTTTCCTCAGCTGGGGGATATATGTCTTTGAATAATTGTATCTGAGACTTTCAAATTCAGAACTATACTGGATTGATGTAATTAACTGTAATAGCCATAACTACCCTCAAAATGACAGTAAAATTATAAACCTACATATGGAGATATGTTGTGGAATTCAGAGAATTAGACTTGTATATTATCCAGCCATGAAATGAAATTATAGAAAGGCCTCAATTCTATGTAACTGACTACTTTTCCCTCTCAATTGTCTATGCTTAAAAACTAAAAATTTATGTTTTTCTTAATATTTCTTCAACTTTTAATATATACCTGGGAGAAAGCAAAGCACAACAAGAGTCAAATATATATTTAACTTACTTTTATTTTTTCTAAGAAAAGAAACGTTTAAACATGACAGAGTTTAATAGCTTGGTGAGGGAAATAAGTGGTATCCAGAAAGATATTGGCTCCTCAATCACACTCTGATAAGCTTCCGTGCCTATGTATCTCACAGGCCAATTGAATGATTTTAGGATTCACTAAAAAAGTGATCATTACTAAATGATAATGAGTTACCATTCACTTAGAGATGTAAAAGTCTAAGAAAAACACAAATGACCTATAATACGTCAGGAAAAAATTACAAGTAAAAACTTGACAATAAATAATATTTTTTAACTATATATATTATAGTAATTAAAACATTGAGACAAAAACCATGCACTCTTTTCACACATGGGTCTCCAAATAATTCAGAGGAGGGAAAAAACTTTCATTTAATTTGAGAACTCAGGTTACTATAAGTGCATTTATAAAAAGAATACCAAAGATCTTGCCAAAAGAGAAGAAAGGAATTAATAAAATATTTGCATAGAAATAAATGAATTGGAAAACTACAAGCAATACAACTAATATATTTATCCAAAAGTTGGTTCCTTGAAAACAAACAAAAACAGATAAACCACTATCTGACCTAATCAAGGAAAAAAAAAGAAAACACAACAATGACAACAACAACAAATTAGAAATCAGGAAAAGTTTTAAAAGATGAAGGTACTATTTTAAATCACACAAAAAATATATGTGCATTTAGGTGCTTATCAGTAAAACCACATACATAATGAGTGTGATGCGCACCATCTGGGGGATGGACATGCGTGAAGGTCTGACTCGAGGTGGGGGGGCAAGGGCAATATATGTAGCCTTAACATTTGTACCCCCATAATATGCTGAAATAAAAAAAAATATGTGCATTTATTATAGAATTATTTACAATGGTGGCAACAGGGAAACAATCTAAATTTCCAGTAGAAGGGGATTCATTAGACAATGTTAGTATGTTTATATAATAGAGTCCTATTCAGCTATTGAATAGATTTATGTAGATAATAGTTTTATTAGTTCGCAAGACTTTAATAAGTGCAACAAAGTGTTCCTTTTTATCTCTGGATGGTGATATCTGTGAAATACTACCTCTTGAAGGGGTCACTGAGATGATTAAATGAAATAATGTATGCTCATCTTTTACATTCAACAATTTCATTCAAGCAGTTTCTATATGTCAGACATAGAGCCATATATTAAGTTAAGGAGAAAAGAAAAACCCATGCTTTCATTTTACTCATTATATAATTGAGGAATCATATATTAATCAAACTACCATATAAATTAAACTGCAATGAGTATAAGAGGAAATTGACAATGTAGGTGAGCATGTAACAGGTGATAGCACTTCATCTAACACACAGTAGGTGCTCAATTCTTGCAAATCTTGGCTTTTGTTCTCTTATTTCTGATACCCAACCTACTTCTCCCATGAATCATATTACTTCTCAAAGGATTCCAGAACATATTTATTACAATTTCCTAAAGTAATTATTGAAAAATAACAAAACCAGGAAATAGCTTCAAGTGTATGCCTGTTGCCTCTAGGTAATACGGTACGTTGTGTGCTAATAACCACCAGTCTCTAAATCCCAGCCATTTAGTCTTGTTATAATTCAAAACTCAGGTGAATAAGTAATGAGATTCCTGCTCATTGCTTGTTCAAAGTACCAGGCTAATAAAAATGCAAATATGGCTTATAAATCTATGTGAAAAACTGATATTGGACTTTTCTGGCCCCTAATAGGTTCCTAATCCACTTAGGGTTAGTGTCACCAAAAGGTGTGGACAGTTCCCTGGTCACAGGTGGGACCACTGGGGACAGTGTGCATACTTCATCTCACTCTGTGATTTCCCTTTATAATACTTACCAATATTTGTACCACATATGCGTTGTGTTTGCTCTTGGAATTATTTGATGTCTTGCTCCTCTTATTTTAATTTTCCTTACAGCATTTTTCACTAACTGATATTTTTCTTGTTTCCTCCTTAGCTGAGGGAAAAGAGATAAGACAAGAAGTTGATGGGTTCTTGTGGGGAGCTCTGTTCTTCCCCTGTGAAGCCCTGAAGAAAGGAAAAGCCCCAAGAGTGGGAAAACAGCATGCTTATTTTATATTGTGAGGTCAGGAAAGACCTGGCTGAGGAATGACATTTAAGCTAAATGATTATTCATACAAAGACTGGGAAAACCCATTCAGGATAATGAGAAGAGCTACTGAGAATTCCCCACAGTGAAGGATGGGCTTGACTTGTCTTGAGAATGTAAGAAACAACATTAAATGGGAGCTTAAAGAGTGAGGGGAAAATTGGTATTAAGTCAGTTCAAAGAAATAGGTGGTAGCCAGATGCTGTAGGGTTTTATAAAGTAGAGACAGAAATTTGTTTGTTTTGTACTCAATAAAACAAGAGGCCATGTGCTATTTTTCATCAAGGAAATTATGTGATCATATTTATATTTTTTAATGGTCACTTTTATTGCTGTGTAGACAATGAATTATGGAAGGGTTCAAGTAGAAGCACAGAGGTTCAAGTAGAATGCAGTCAGGAAGTTTTTGTATTTGTCAAGGCCAGAAGACAGTAGGGTGCTAATAGCAGAAATGGAGAAAAGCAGATGGTTTGGGACATGTTTTGGTGAAAGAGTAAGCACTACAGTTTTGAGATAGAGGATATGGATGGAAATAAATTTAAAATAACACCTAGATTTTTGTTCCTTAGCCTGCATGCCAACAGAGGTCTTTACAGCTCTGGTGGAAAAACGAGAGAAGGAGATGCCAGTTTGGATAGACAAACCATCAGTTTACTTTTAGTCTGAAATGCCTGGCAGACCCCCAACTAAAGATATCAAGTCATCAGTAGGCCCTAAATATATAGAAATAAGATTATTCTGGCTTATAGGCCTAGGAAATATTAATATTTTGCCTGTTAGAAAAATTTCACAAATCTTTGCTCCAATCCATTGTATTTGTATTTTAATGCTTAACTCCTAGTGAATAGATATATCTCACTTACTTTCATGGTCTTGGGCAATTCTTCATTTTAGCCCCTTAATAAAAATATGAAACTATATCTCTATTTCCTTACATCTCCATAGTCATTTCACTTGATGAACCTTGAAAATCTATTCTTAATTTCATCTTCTCCAAGATGAAATACCTAAATAGTGACAACTAGTGGGAAATACGGAAATATACACACACACATATACATTGTATTATGTATAACATACATATATATACACACACACACATATATGCATTTCATGCAGGCTCTTCATGCAGGTCCTAATTGAATATATAAATGGATATATATATATATATGTGTGTGTGTGTGTGTGTGTGTTTCCTTTTCTGAATGATATATTCAAAATGCTCATTCATGGCAGTAATCACTCTTCCTGGGGATTTTGTCTCGCTAACAATTGCTTTAAATATAGGAATATGGGTATTTAGTCCAACTTAAAATAAAAAATACTGAGAACTTGTATTTGTAGTTGGCCTTTATCTCTAGTTATCTGTATGATCATGGTCAAGTTATTACAATATTTCAGTTTTCTCCACCATAAAATGAAAACCTCCAACAAGATAATCTCTGAGTTCCTTTCTTCTGCAAAATTAAATGTAAAAGAAATCCACAATTCTCCTAGCACCAGGCACCCTTAACTGTGCCTCATTAATAATAATAATAATGTTTCATAGAGTGTATGGCACGAAGTAAGGATTGTTTGCAAAATGCAATTTAAACAGATCTCATTTTATGGCTTGCCATTTACTGTAGTAGTAAATAGCAAATAGGCAGTTGTGCCTACGTATATTTGCTGATCTGTCAGACAGTGGAAATAAGGCCAGCACATTATCCGTTTATAAATCAGGGCACGCATTCATTCTCAGGGAGAGGCATTAAGTTTTTATTGAAAACGACAAACCACTGCATCTGGAGTGAGCCACAGAGGGGGCTCCTTTCATTACCATTTAACATATGTATACATGTTTTTCAGAGTGAGTGCCAGTATTTTCTTATCCTTCTTCTGCCCTGTGTCAGACTCAGCAATCCCATCTATTGCAATGATTTTAAAAACTGCCATTTTCTCATCATATTCTATACACCTATGTCGGGCTTCAACTCAGCTTCATTCACAAATCTAATTATATGACTTTCTTCCTTCTGATTCTTTACCTCAATGTTGCCAACATAATTTGGTTCTATAGCTTCTTTCATATCCTTTCCAGGCCTCAGGTGGCTATTTCTTCACTGCTGAAGTCTGTTAATGCTGTTAAGATAATGTTCTTCACCCTTGGAAATGGAAAAAGAATAACAATAATCACTGACTCTCAGTATGAAATTGCTAAACATTTTATGTCTTCCTTCTTTTAAATACCACATATAGATATAGACATAGATATAGATAGTTTATGAAGTAAAAGGAACCTGGGTCTCATAGTATTAGCTCTCCTATACATTCATAAAATTATCAAAATTGTATGTAATTTGTGTAAGCTATATACTTAGAAGTTGGGGTTGTATCTAGTGTATCTTCATTTATTTTACTTTTATAAAAAATTTACAAATTGTTATAGGGTGCTGTAATCCAGTTGCTGTTTTGCACACTGCCTACAAATGGAAACATGGATCTGAACTACATTGTAGAAATTGAAGAAAATTTAATTCAGGCTCTTTATACAGGTCAGAAATGAATAGGATTTAAAGAATAAGTCTGATTTGGTAGGGAGCTTTCACAATTTATGGGCAGCTGATCAGATGACTGAATTGTTTGCTGATATTTCAGTCTGTAGCTTAGGAACATCATTTACAATTCAAAGGACATGACTGCTTAATTGTGTTCAATAAATCCCCAGAACAGTGTAGAACTTAATGCAGAGTTCAGCCTAATTTGCGCATACCCTGTACAGAATGGAACATATGATGTTTAGGTTTATGGGGAACTGATAGGAAATTCTGATTGATGGGTGGTTCTGTTTGTGTTTGAGTGAAAATGATAAGGCACTTTCTCTTCATATATGTATGTAGTTGTAGATTAGTATAGGTGCAAAACTCCCCCAAGGTGATAAACATAGCTTGGAGGGTACTCTGCAAACCAGTACCATTTCAGACGAATAAGTTACATTACATAACTTGCTATCTCACCATAGAATAAAGATAGTATCTTGAAAGGGCAAAAATGTGCCATTGAACAGGGACTAAACCCCAAAGACACTTCTACACACACAGTTTATAATCCCATGAGCTCAATTTGAGATTATCCAAAGTAGCATCTAAATAGAAACAACTATTTCTCCCTTGTATGGGCTGGCTTTACCCAGTATTGTTAACATATCATAGTAAGTATTATGTTTAATATAGTTTAGAGCAAAAATTAAATCTCAAGCATGATTTATGTAGATGGCATAAACAGGAACATAAAGGAAGTTTCCATTCTTTCCTCTATTACAAATCCACTCACTCTGCTTCGGTTGTACAGTCCCATTCAGACTCTGTATGGACTCTGCCTTTCTATTCCTAAGGGTCACCCCTTCTCTCAGGTCATCCCATGTCAAGCACAAAGCTACACTTCCACTGTGGCCTTCCCAGCTAATAGGAAGTGAAGTCTTGATTGTCTTTTTGACTAGTCGCACACTGATATTTACATGAAGGAAGTCCAATAGTTTAATATACAGTGCATTCTTGAAATGGTACTTCATAGTTGAATGTCTCAAAGCAAAAACAATAACCATGCATATGTTAAGTGACAGTTTCATTTTCAGAAAACTATTGATATAAGGCAGGCTGATTGATGTTGCTATCGCTTTCCTTTAGGTTATCCAACAATCTAGAATTAATTCAAAGGTTAACAACATGGATTTCTATTTGCAGCATACCACACACATTAATTTTAGAAAGTTAACTTTTTAGCTTAATTGGGTAACATTGAGTAAAAAGAAGAAATTGGTTCTAATATTGGGAAGAAGAAACTATGATTGAAAAAAATTGCACAGGATTGAGCATGGATTAAGTCTGGAATTGTGAGACTGGCTTTATGTGTGTATGTGTGTTTTGTTTTTTGTTTTTTGCATAGTCCACAGGTAACAAAATATAATCATAGGGCTATGAGTGGAAATCTTCTCTAAACATTCTCTGGTGAGCTCTAATCCTATTAATAGCTATGTAGATCTATGAATTTCTCTTTGCATTTAGATTGCTAGAATGATGTTTGGATACAAATCTCTGTGACCTTGATCAAGTCACCTAAGGCTTCAAAGTCTCAGCTTCCTAATCTTTATACTGGAAATAATGAAATGTGTATCTTTGGAAGAAATTTTCCCATGGGTCCTTTGCCTTTTTGCATATATTATGAATCAAGGCTCTGACAATATTTTGTTCCAGAATATCTTTTCAAGAATGTTTGCATACCAAATAACTTTGAAAAACAGAGCTAGTTCCAGGGTAGAAACATTACCTTTTGCATTCCACAATAGTACCAATAGCATCTCCCTTCAGATGAAAAACATGGCAGTTTTGCTTATAGACCCATTAAAAGATTAGGGCTTTCTAAACTTGGGGTTCTTTTCCAATGATGCAACCCAAGAGTCATCTGGCCCTTACTGTATAATTTAGACTTGGGGAACTGGTGTAAATGCCAATACTTTTGTCTCTGCTATTTTTGTAATAAATGGTTCTTTGTCTCTGACCCAAAGTCTTCTAACTTCTGCCTGTACCCTTGAATCTGTCATGCTAACTAGTTAGTTGGCAAGTAGAGTAAAACCTCAGCTCATTCACAATTCTTGACATGTATATCATATGGTTGTTGTAGGAACCAAATTATATTATCCATTTATATCCCTTCACTCCTTGCTTGGGCAAAGAAGCACTTCACATTTTAACTATAACATTATTAATTATTACTCAAACCACAGTTTAATAACTTCTTCTATAAATTTATCACTAAGCTTCACCTTTCAAAAACCATATTCAATTATAGATTTTTAGGATTTCATACAATTTAGCTTTTTATTTTCTTTTGTAATTGAATTAAATTTAATGAATATTCAAATGGATTAAAAGTTTCACTTTTAATGTGCTTAATATTTCCATCTTTGTAGCACTTTCAATTTTATACTCATTTCAAAATGAAAGACATTATAATGTTAAATAGTGAAATACGGGGGGGGGGAAATGGGCATTTATTGAAACCTTAAAAACTGTACCCCCATAATATGCCAAAATAAAAAAAAATTTAAAAAAAAATCCTAAAAAAAAAAAATAGTGAAATAATTGCACAAACACTTCTTTACAAAGCAGTGGTGCTGACTCTGTAGACTTGCAGAGTACATGGACTATGGGGCTATAGCATCTTCCACCTAGATACAAAGGATGTTGTGAACAGCCTGAGGCCCAGGAAGAAATCTTCTGCAAAGGTAGAGCCACCACAGAGACCCCCCACTAGGTCAATGTCTCATAGAGCCACAGTAGTGGGGCCACTCCCAAGACCTCAGAATGATAGAACTACCAGCATGCAGCCCCAGCTTAGGAGTGCTGCCAACTCATGAGAGCTCAGAAGCCCAAGACAGCAAAGCCATAGAGATTAGGCTGCCTAAGGCTTTGAGGGTTCAACTCCAACCCCAGTATGCTCAGAAGGTAAGACATAGAGTCAAAAAATATTATTCTCCAACTTTCAGATTTAATGCTATTTTTCCTGTTGAGTATTGGAGTTAATTGTGACAAATTGCCCTTCTTTTATTGCCTATTTTTCCTCTTTTGGAATGGGGTTGTCTACACTATGCTTGTCTCACCATTGTATTTTGGAAGTAGAAAACCTGTCTGATTTCACAGGCTCACAGGGGGACAGCAATTTGCCACAGAATGAGTCATGCCTTGAGTCTTATCTGAATGATGTTTAGATAAGACTTTGGACTGTTGAGTTGGTACCAAAATGAGTAAAGGCTTTGGGGATATTGGGATAGAATGAATATATTTTGCATTGAAAAAAACAAATTTGGGGCCCAGGATTGGATTGCTATGAGTTGAATGTGTCCCCCAATAAGCAATATGTGTGTGTTAGAAACTTAATCTCCAATGCAACAATGTTGAGAGGTGGGGACCTAATGAAAGATTAGGCCATGATGGCTCTGCCCTCATGAATGGATTAATATTGTTATCACAGTGAGTTTGTATCTCAAGAATGAGTTCCTTATAAAAGGATGAGTTTGGCCCCCTTTTGTCTCACTCACACTCTCTTGCCTTTCTGCCTTCTGCCATGGAATGAAGCAGCAAGAAGTCCCTTGCTTACCAGCCCCTTGGTCTTGGACTTGCCAACCTCCAAAACCACAAGCTCATAACTTTCTATTTATTGTAAATTACCCAGTCTCAGGTATTCTGTTACAACAACACTAAATGGACTAAGACAGTTGAGCTAGCATTAACATGTAAAAACAATTTAAAAATAAGAATTCATTACTGATCTCAATTTTCTGATATTCAAGTTGGTAGTATATATATATAAAGTTATTTTTTCCAGTTTAGATTATATATAAATCCCTAGTTGATAAACAGAAATTCAAATTTTAATGTAGTATCCAAAATAGCAAGATAGATACAGATATGCCTAATGTTAGGTGAGTGTGCATTTGAGAAATATGTATGTGTCGAAGTGTATTTGTGAAAATGAGAAAACTTTCTTGCAGTTAAGATTGCTTACACACACATTCACAAAAAGAGAGAATTCTAAATTTTTCACATGTTGCTTTATTTGACATTCTAGAAGTAGACCCCAAATATAAAGTCAGCCAAGTACTAATTAAGAACCCAAGAGATAGATTTCACAAAATCATTTTTACTGCAAAGTTAACATTGGGAGTTTTTTAAAAAAACTAAAATGACATGCATTTAAAACAAAGAAAAATAAACTTGGATATATAAATGTATGACAATCCACTTAAAATCCTTAAAGCAAAATAAATTCACAATCTATAGCACTAAAATATTATAAAGCATTTCTGTCATATATCTTTAAAATACATAGACCGCCTTCCTCTGTTTTAAAATGTTGGTTTTATTATTATTCGGATATGGATAATTGCTGTTGAAAAGACAATTGGTTATACTCACAGATCCCAAGGGGAGGAGGCATTCCACACTGTTAGGATCCACATGAGGAAGCCCCAGTATCAGTCTAGAGGCAGAGAAAGCTAAGAAAAAATGTGGGCAAGAACCTTTACTGTGGTTTCTGTGGGGAAAAATGGTGAGGCAGGATAAGCAGGTTTAGGATGAATTAGTTTGAATAATTTCAGTGGGCTCCA